CAGATTTCTAAAAAGTCAGCATAATAAGATGAGAAAAGGTGGAGAGATGAGTCTTCTGCTAGTTTTTAGTTAGCATGTAAATTTATTCATCTTTGCAATGCAAAATTAAGCAGCACAAATTAATTTAAAAGAATATTAGATAAATATCCTCCAAAAATATCTGCAGTAAAATTAAAATGAAATTGTGAGAAATGCTTTTGGCAGACAATTTATAATACTTTTATTCTGAATTTAGTCATAGTTAGGAAAGCTCTTTCAATACACATACTACTGTTACTACATCTACTGTTCCCAGACCTACATGATGAATAGTGAGTACAGATAAGAATACTTTATAATGTTTTTCCTTCCTTGAGGCACCACTCAAACCCCTGCTCACAGGCCTCTTTTCTGCTGTGATTGCAAGAATCACAGAGTGACTGAGGTTGTGAGGAGCTCCTGAGAACTGGCACAGCCTCCTGCCCTACAAGGGCACCTGGAGCTGGCTGCCACATCCAGATGGCTTTTGAGTATCTCCAGGGCTGGAGATTCCACAGCCTGTCTGGGCAGTCTGTTCCAGTGCCTGGTCACCCTCACAGTGCTTCCCTATGTTCAGCCAGAACCTCCTGTGTTTCTGTCTGTACCCACTGCCCCTTTTCCTGGCATGAGCCTCTGTCTCTCCTTTGCACCCTCCAGATCTCAGCTCTCTCAGCCCTTCTTCATATGAAAGCTCCTCAGTCCCTTATCCATCTCAGTGGCTCTTTGCCAGACCCTGGAGCAGCTCCTTATTTCTCCTGCACTAGGGAGCCCAGAACTGGGCACAGTACAGCAGCACTCTAGACTCCATAAAGATCAACACTGACAGAGATTCTCTCCTCTCACAAGCCTTAGTAAAACAGGTACAATCTGACTAAAATATAATACAGGAAAGGTTTATGGTACAGAAATGTGGTGACCAGTGCTCCAAAGGAAGAATTTATTGAACCTCTACTATCAGGGAGCATGAGACTCAGTGGAGACAAGAAGATTGATCTATTGGGGAGAGGGGAGTTGAAGCTAAACAAAGGAATATCTAAAACTTAAGAGGAATGTTTGAACCATGTATAAGAATTTATGAATATGTAATAGGTTTCTGTTTTTAAAGGACAATCCTTTGTTAGTAAGATCTGCTCTCTTGGTTGAATACTGAGGCACCTGGCTGTATTTGTTCATTTTGCTTTATTTCTATCTCCTAATTGTCTTTCTACTAAACTTTTTAAATTTTATATAAAAAATGTGAACCTCGTTTTTTGCACTGACAATAGGGCAATTCCCCTTTCTGCATACAAAGCTTCAAACTCTTTAAAAGAAAAACAGGAGTTGTGTTCTAACTCCTCCCTCCATTTGTGTAGCAACTTGCTCCACATGGAGCTGCCTCCAAGTAGTTTGCTGCATTTGCTCCCTTATAAGGAAGCTTTCCAGGCATTTGAAGGAAAACATTGCTTAATTCTCTGGCAGATTTCAGATTTAAAATCCAACATTCAGCTGGATTGGCTAGAAGTGCTCCTGTCACCTCACCTTTCACCCATCAAGAACAAGCCATGAAACCGGCAAGAAGAGAAGGCAACAGAAGAACTATTTTTCTTCTACAAAAAGGTTCAAAGGTTTGCTGATGTCCCAGGTGGTGCCCAGCTTCATCATTTAGTGCCATATTTCCCTGGCAGTTGTCTAACTAGGTTAAGTCACTCTCAAGTAATACAACGTGAATTTACAACATTTGTGCTTTTTGGCTAGGACAGACATCCAGAAATACCTGTGTTTGAGTGTTTGTTTGGGTGCCAAACTGTACCAGTCTACAGGGAGAAACAGAAACAGATGGGCTGCTGAGCAGATAAGCATTATTGCTGGAGTAAAAGCTTTTCTGCCAGAAAATCAGATTTGTAAAACTGAGTAAGAGAAATAATGCCTTATAAGAGACAACTCAACAATTTATTCCCATTTACAATCACAAGAGAGGAGTGTTATACAAGCAGATTCATTTTGATAACTAAAGTGGTTTTCCAACTTTTCTTCATGTAATTTTTTTTCTTTTTGTTCCTGTTTCTCTCTACAGGACATTTTCCAGGATAACAAATCTTTTTGAATGGTGATGCCCAAAACTGGACAGTCCATTCCTACTGAGGTCACAGTACTGCTGACTGGAATTCTCCCATTTTATAAACATTGCTGAGGCTAATGCATTGTAGAAATGCATTTCTCTTTTTTGCAAGAGTATTGTGGGGGTTGTGTTGTTAAAAGTATGCTCACATCACTAAAGCCCCAGCCCCCACTTTTTTTTTTTTGCATCATTTTGCACTTGCAAATTTTTTCACAGTTCTTAGGACTTGAGTATGTGAGTGTGCAAATTTCCTCTTGTTCACTTCAGCAATTTCTCTAACATACTAAATACTGTTGAAAAAGCTAATCTTAATCTTCATAGCATCTGCAACTCCCTTCACCTCAATGTTTCTTACCATTCTCACCAATTTTCCATGTTCAGGAGTACTTTGACCAGGATTTCAGTGCACTTAAACAAGTAGAAAAGGACTAACACAAACTGGAATATGTAAAAGCCTTTACCAATGTTGCATGTTGCAATGTTGTAGACATGTTGCAGCTGTGTCTTTTCTGACTTACAAAAGCAGACACTCCCAGGAAGATTTGCTTTTAATAAATCCACAGTGGCTGCCTCTGATCATGTATTAAGTTCTAGGCACTCACAGACTGATTGTCTACCAGTGTGTTCTGGCATCTCTCCATGCAGAAAAGTTGTGTCCTGAAGCTAAACACATTGGCCTAAATTTCCACATTCTCCTTAAGAAATCTGGGTGTTGGGGGTTAGGTGTCCTTCCTTTGGTTCCTTCTCACCTATAGAATTTTTCCCCATTAGAAACCTGACTGCTGGTACTTATTGGGTGCTTGAGAAGACAGAGTTTGGCTGGGCCCAGGAGAGAAGGGGGGCAGATAAAAAAGAGGGCGAGGGCAGCTGCGGAGAGGGGGCGCTGTTTCTTTTTTGGGTTTCAGAGCAGGACGCACTGAGAACTGTTGTGGTTTTGGGGAAAGGAATTCACCATAACCCCAAGGGAACTTCTCCATCTGTGGGCCCCCGCAATCCCTGTCTTGCCGGGACGTCCTGCAGTGCGAGCCGCTGCCGTGGAGCTTCTGATACACTTCGTCCACCAGCCCGGGATTTTCCTCTCAGTCCTGCCGTTCCAGCTGGGTGTTTCTCAGAGCCCTGCAGGGGCACCGAGATAGACTGCCCGCAGGGGGTTGGTGAAGAAAAGCCTCTCCTCCATCCTTTCAGGTAAAGAAGGCTGTCACGGGGTCCCTGGTTCTGTTTTGTTATTTATACCATAGTTGTTGTTTGTTTGCCTTGTTATACACACTAGTAAAGAACTGTTATTCCTATCCCAATATCTCTGCTTGAGAGCCCCTTAATTTCAAAATTATAATAATTTAGAGGGAGGGGGTTTACGTTTTTCATTCCAAGGGAGGTTCCTGCCTTCCCTAGCAGACACCTGTCTTCCAAACCAAGACACTGGGGCATGTTTTCAAAGCCCTATCACCACCAAAGCCACCAGTAACAGCTCTAAAAATCTGTCAGCTGTCCTATGTGTATTTTAGACAAGGTTTTGAGACAGCGATAACATAAATACATCTACAATAACCAATATTCTTTAGTATGTTCTTGTCCTGGGCCCATGACAATGTTCATAGCTGAGCTGTGATCAGCACTTCCAAAAATTAACTATATTTGACAAAGACTTAGGAGACTGGTGATAAACAGCTATCAAACACCAACAGTGAGCTATGGTTTCTATTTTTCTCTTTCACCAGGCACCCTTGCCGCTGCTGCAGTCTTACTTTATATTTTTTCCTAGGTCCATTTTCAGCACCTTGTGTTAATTTTTTCTTCACTTAAATTCATAAGTTATACTACTTTCTAATAATTTGCAAATTATCCACACTCAGATTACTAATCAAAAAAATGTGTCTTCAACCTCTCTGACCACAGTCTGCATTTATGCTGACTTAAGCTGGTACTGACACCAAAGCCTTGCACACTATAGTCAGTGTGCACCTTAACCAACACCTTACTTGTAGGGAAATGCTCTCCTCATTTTCAGTTGCATTTGCTTGCTCTGGCTCTTATGCCAGCTTTGGCACACATCTGATCCCTCAGATTAGCTGATTCAGTTTATTAAACCAGCAGAAAATAGATTTACTGTTGTTTGGGGTTTTGATGGGCTACTTTCCCTGTAGGGACGGATAAGAGTGCTTAGCCCATTTCACCTAATTGCAATCTCATGCTGGTTTACATCAGTTTATAGCAATCTAAATTGAAGCTGCCATATTAATCCCTTCATCCCCACCTACACAACAGTCATTAACAGCCATGCAAATGGATGGTAACCCAGACAGAGCTTTATTTTTTTTTTTTCCTTTTTTTGTAAGGCTGCTCCTTGCTGGATCATCTTACTGAAGTCAGCAGCTGCACAAGAAATTCAGTTCAGCCTAAAGAACACTGGACCTGCACTTCCTCCACATCAGCCCTGTGAGCATCCTGCAGTGCAAATAAGTGCCCAGCAGTACCTGTGTGCCCCTTCACTGAGACATGGAGATGCTAAATCACTAAGTGCTAATTGACCAGGGTGTCATAACCCATTTTATTCCTGTTCACTAAAACTTCACCTCAGACATGCAGAAACACCTCTGGATTCTACACTGACTGCAGGATGTACCTTCACTGGTATCATTGAGCAGAAAAGCAGCAAATCCCATTCATACAAGTCACTGGCTCTACCCTAAAATAGTCTATGATATTCACCTTAAGCCAATCATCACCTTATGACAATTATACATTATAAGTGTATCTTAAATCCAATCCTGCTCTCATTAATTCCTGCAGAATAACTGGCTTTATCTGGTTTCTTCACAAGCCAGATAAGATTCAGCTCCTTCCACATGGATCACAAAGGAGAAATTTAAAACAATTTACTTACCGAAGGATTTCCTTTCGAGTGAAGAACGTGCAATCCTGTTAAAGAAACAAAATATGTCATTGTACTACAGAAATATTGAAAACAACTGCAAAGAGTTATTTCTCAACCTTTTGGAAGGAAACTCAGATTTGACAGAGAAATGTTAAAGATGCTGTTTGGGTGCCATCTACTTCTGACTCAGAAAGTAATATACTACATAATACATATACTACATACTATAAAATACCATACTATATATGGTACGTATATATATAGTGTGTATATACATATAAAATACTATAAAATAACAGAAATGTTCCAAGGAAAGGCATCCCAGCAAAAATAAATATATTGGTAATGTGATAGTTCAGGAGGAAAAAAAAAACCCCAGGTTGCTGAGATACGTCTCCAATGTGGAATGACCAAACCAGAAACAAAATTAAATCCGAAACACAAGTTACATGCCAAAAGTATTCAATAAATTAATATGAAAAACTATAAACAACAAATAGATGACAAAAACTGTCTTTTAACTTGAAGGATCCCTCTGCTGGAGACAACTGGTTTAATAATAAAGTGATGTATTTATTTATTAGTTATTAACCCTTTTTGCTAACAATCAGTTTGCACTGTGGTCGCTTTGCTGAATGCTACAAACTCCTCTATTTTAGGAGCATGGATAAATGGGCAGCCCCTGCCCTGAACAGCAGCAAACCATTCAGCTCTCCCTGTTCTATCACAGAACTAGAAATAACTTACTAAAATGCAGAGGCAGAGCTTGCTCAACTTGAGAGAAGAGCATAGAAACATTCATTTGCATTCTAAATGGCTCTATGATGTGACTGTATTGACATTGGTTTAATTCAATTCATGAGCACTTGTGCTATACTAGAATTCAAACACTTCACCACAGAACCTGAATATGAGCAGTGGAAGAGTTTGCATTTCATGCATTTCTATGTCAGTGACAGAAAAAGATCTTTCAAAATCAGCTTGTGACAAGATAACAGCATCAGACATGGTAAGTCATACTTAAAGGTAACATACAACTACTTTGATTCTCCCAGTCCTGCTCTTCAGTCAACTAATGAAAAAGTATTTCTTTCTCAAGCTCAGACTCATTAGGGCTAAATGCCTGCTTCTTCCAAGGAGGGGACAAGCAAAGGATCCCCTCTGGCAGAAGCAAAGACCTGTCTCGGGTGTCCAGGAATGTGATCAGTCCTGCAGGTATCAATTATTGAGCTGCCTTTCTCTCCTCCATACAAAGTGCCCAGAGCAGCAGCTCTTCCTTCAGTGCATTGTGTAGTTACAAGACCCAGGAGGAAGCACCTTGGGAGCTGCTGATACTGATGTCACATTGTCTGCAACTGCACAAAGTGACATTGGAGCCAGCTGGTCAAGTCTTCCTTAATTCCACACAATTAACACACTCAAACTGTCACTTAAGGATGCTTAATTTACTAAGAAAGGGCAGGTGTAATCTCACAAATAATTGTAATGCCCTCAGCAGCAATCATCTGTAATTATATAGTCTGGGGAAAACAGCAGCCACTTAACTAGACAGCTGACAGTGAAGTGATATACAAATGGAGAGAAAGATTAAAAGGAAAAGTTACCCTTTACCTTGCAGTTCTGCAAAAATGCTATTGGAAGACAAATGAGGACCATAATAAACCATTTTTGCTGACAGTCCACACATTTTTTATATTTTATTCTGAGTTGCTTAATGACACTGACAACAAACACTGCTGTCTGCCTGCTTTTTAATCAACAAAATTTTTACTAATGCAATCTAAACCCCACTAATACTGAAAACCTCTGTAGCAGAAGTAGTTGCAACTATCTGCCTAACCACCATTACTTCAATTACACCTTCCAATTGCATGGAATTGTCAGGAATGAAGGGTATTAAAAAAATAAATTAAGAATGGTCTCACTCTTAAGAGAGATCTTAAAGCTACTCAGGGTCAAAGCACCACAAACTCATTGTGACCTGGCCTATACTTTTGATCCAGCCAGACGGTACTACCTGTGAAACAATTTACCATTAAAAAGCCTGTCTGGTATCAAATGGCAAATGCAAAACCACAGCTCCACATGACCTCTGACAGGGAAGTCCCTCTTGCTTTTCCCACCTTCTTATTTCTGCTGTTCCTTTATGCAGACTTGAGCTTGATGAGCAGAATAACTGCATCAGAAAACTCTGAGGGAAGGAACTAATGTGTTTGTAAATGAACCTAGCAATAATGGATGCTTTTCCAGCTTGGATAATTTCCTTTTAGTGACATAGAATTTAGCATTGGCAGTGCTGGTACAAGACATGAAGGTGAAACAAGTATTGATGGCAAGAAAGGGGTGCAGGACTGATTTCTTTTTCCTATTTTTTGAAAGCACAGCCCTCAGCTGGATAAAATCATGATGGACAAAATATCTAAATAACATAATTACATTTTATAGTTGCTGGAACTTCAGCAATTTAATTCCAATTTAATTAAAGACTTTTGCCAAAAAAACATGGAGGTGAATCATCTAATTTTCTTCTGACTACTTCATTCATACAGAAAAATACACAATGAAGGACAATAAATAGTAAATTAACATGTTAAATTCACTCTCATAGGAAAGGTGAAGTGGGCTCTGGAAAGCATTTGTCATTTATGCACAGGATAACTTTGATTTTCCTGCAAGCCAGAGGTATGGAACACATTTGCTGTTTTGTGGACTGTATTTGAGTTTACTAAGAGCACAAAAAGTAACCTGTCTGTTCTATCTGGACACTAAAATGTCTGGGAGTCCTGCTAGAAAAGTAGAAACTGATTACTGAACAATAAACATCACCAGGGTTTTTAGAATTCTTCTCAGGTCAACATTACTGGCAAGAATTGATCCTGGGAATTATTCCCTTTATTTTCAGTGCTAGACAATGGCCTGAAAGACTTCTGCTAACAGCAGGCCCTTGAGACTTTTAGCTTCCATAGAACAGAGGCTTTACCTTGACATGTCACCTATTCCAGCCCCTGAGAACAAACACACACCTTTTCCAAGGTCAACTCTCCTACTCACTCTGTCCTTGTGCCCTTTATAATCAAGTTAATTAGAAGTCCAACATGGGATCACTGATGGTTGTTCTTGAGGTGTAAGATACCACCAAAACAAATCTGCAATTATTTACTCAATGTCTTGTAACAAAGTAAATAAAATCAAGCAAAAAAAAAATAAATTTCCCATTGATTTCCATGAGATCATGACCTTGTATAATGGTTCTCAAATTTAGCATTTAGATGGTTTAACTGCTTCTTAAAATACTTAGCAGAGAAAAGAGGCAGACAGTGCATTTAGGTTCCACAGGTAGCTTGGTTCATGGCTGGTAATTGAACTTTCTACAAGTCACTCAGCATTGCTTGTAAAGCACAGTTAACTGTCTCTGCTCTTAAAATTTATTTTATAGCAGAGTAGCATGCACGTGCTGTCAGTTTTATTCTTTTATTTCCTGTGTCAGATGAATGCAGATTTAGGAGTGAAAAAACTGAAATATGGTGGTCCACCACCCTGTCCACTTGACTGAAAACTCCTTGGTTGGTTCTGCTTTGTATTGAGTTCTACAGTGATTTGAACAAAACAAGAAAGGGGAGAGAGAGATGCTCTGACAATGCTGCTACTGAACTGCGTGCAGAGATCCATCCAGCACCAGGAGGTGTGGCTGCACTCAGCCCACCAACCAGCTGTTCTGGGCATGGATTGCCAGTTCCCGAGGGCAGCACACAGCTCATGAATGGTACCAGAGTCCAGTGAATGGGAGGTTACCGATCACTGCTCCCAGAAACAAGAAATTTCATAAAGCACAGCTGTGAAATAAAGCTAATTTCATGGTGGTGTGCAAAACACTTCCCTACAGAGCAAACACTGGAGAAATGAATGACGGAATGAAAGAATAGAAATACTCAAATATGCTGTAGAACAGTATTTCTGAAAGCCATTAAATGCATATTTCTCTTCTAAGACAATACATATATATTCTGCTTTGTATATGTATAGTTTAATAAGGTCAGGTTTACTTTGATCCTGCTTCACTGGAAACTTTTATAAATAAGAAAATAATATAAATAAAAAAATTACAAAATCACTGCAAATTAAAAAAAATAAAAAAAACAAAAGCCTCAAACAAAATCCAGCAAACTACAGGTAATGCAGATACTGTAAACCATATAGCTATCTGAGAGCAGCTCTTAAATGCTAACTATTGGATGCTGCAGCACTTCAAAAGGTAATATTTCAAGCAAATTACCTCAGAGGTTTCATTTTTAAAATCACAAATGACATTTTGTACTGTGCCAAAGTACAAAATGTGTGTAAGAGCATTTAATCAAAACACCATCAAAACATCATCCTGTGAAAGCAACCAAGAATCTGGTACCAGACAAGCAAATGAACTTTTTTTATATGATCTATTATTAACTCCGTTCTGGTAATCTTTTACAAATGCAATACTTTTGTTCTACATTCCACACTGCTAAGACTGGCATAGAGTTGTGTAAGACTGAGTCTGCAAGATATTTATGTATTTTCATCACTGTTAGTGTATAAAGAGTTAACAGAGTCAATGAGTTAAAAATGCTGTTTACATCAGAACACCAATAAAAATTTTAGCATACAGCTCATCCTTGCTTGTCACTGTATATACTTTACAATTACACCCAAACCAAACAAAAGACCCACTGAGTTTCAGAAGGAAAAAATCAGCATCTGTAAGAGCTGGTTTATGTATTCATATGGCAACAGGGGAGTAGAAACTCAGATATTAGCAAGGACTGAAAAGAGGCAAACTGCCAACAAAAGTAATTTTGCTTAATCTACAGATGCACCAAATGGTAATGTGAAACCAGAACCTGACAAAAAGAATATTTTCACAAAAAAATTGCTCCATTAATATGCCACTTTTACTTGCACAATAATAGCAATACTGTATAAAATGGAAAATACTTTTTACAGAAGATCTGGGGGTACCTATGAACCTACTATTTGTATTCTTATAAAAGACAATTTTCCAAGACCCTGG